ACTGTGGTTGACAAGCTCTCCGCTTTAATACTTTAATGTCTATAACAACATTATGAGATAGAATTTCCTTCTCAATTTTAAAGATGAAAAATCTAGGTCTCAGAGAGACACTCAGTCTGTAAGTGCTGACCTGACATTTGAACAGATTTTTTTTTTATTCCACACCCAGTTGAGATACATTGAGTCAATTGCAGATGGCCTACACATTTCAAAGTTAGGTTATTTATTTGACAGTCACTGAATAATGCTTAGAGGGTTTAAGAAATGTAAATGTTGTTATATCAGATATATCTCCTGGACTAAGAATTTCATTTTATTTTCACTCTACCAGAATTCAGTAAATTTAATATGTCCTTCCATTATTATTGAGGGCTCCCTAAAAAAAAAAAAAACAAAAACAAAAAAACAAACCCTTCAGCATTTTATTTTTTGTTTAAAATGTTTGTCCACATGCCAAATAACAATCTGATCTAATCAAGATGATACAGAACACAGTTAACCATATAATAATCTTTAGATTCTGGCCAGGCAGGTAACTAAATAAGTAGAAGCTCGCAGACTTAAAGTCATAAATATATTAGATGTTTGAATATATTAGATGGTTTGAATTCAGAATAAGAATATTTGGTTAAGAAGGATGTGATTAAAAAATCAGCAGAACATTATTGTGGGAATGATTAATAAAAGCCACACAGTCACATTCAAGTGATCTCAACAAAGGGAATAATGAAATCTCTCCAGCTTTGTGCTCCTTTGATTCAGTACTGTCATTCCCAATGGCCTCAAGATGATTACATGCCTGAAGGACACATTGATGGAAATATGGTCTCGCTCCTGATCAGAAATGATGACCCAGCATAACAGAGCACCTAGAGATTGCCAAGACAAGTCTGTCGCTCCCTTTTAGATTGTGTGGCATATCCCTAGCTTAGAGAATCTAACTTTCTCCACTCTGCTACACCTAACTGATAATGGGCCAGGGAAATGTGAGCAGTAGCAATAAAAACAAATTTTATTCTTTATCCAGAAAATATGTTTAAGTGTGTTTCTTGTCTTCAGGCACAACTAAAATGGAAGTATCTAAGTAAGAGCTATAGTTAAGTTTATAGTCCAAAGAATAGCTTTTGGTGAGCATCAAGCTAATTAATAAGAATGTGTAAGGTTAAAGTTAATTTATATACGTGTTAAGTAGCATCCTACCATTAACCCTTATATATGACAGTCCTCCTGTTAACCAAATATCCCTTTTACACAAAGATAGTTTGAAGGTGACAACTGTAATCAATCATAAGGGTGTATTATTCCAAGATCAGCACTGAAAAAAAGTTCCAGGAGAAATAAAAAATTTATATATATATATAAAAGCCTGGAAATCTTAATCTCAAAATTCTTTGCCACAACATTGCATACTTCCTACTCCCACAATAGTATTTGTTATTTATCTTTATGAAAGTGCTTCAAAATAAAATTTTGCTTAAAAAAATTCACCACGATTATTATTGTCCATGTAATGGTTAACTATTACGCAAAGTTGCAAAATGGCAATACAGAAGAAAATTTATTCACGGCATCTTCCTCTCTCAAAGCTCTATCATATCCATGTTTCCATCCAGGCTCCTAGTGTGTTCCTTCCATTCTCACCTCAACCAAAGGAATATTTTTTTTTATCATTCAAGCATAAACTTACCTATTCTCTATCCCATTCTCTAGGGGATAAGTGAATGAAAATTATTTAGAAAGTAAGTGTAAAGAGGTTAATTAGACATTATGCTACCATCTCTTGGTAACATATGTTTAATTAGAACAGTGCTTCTCAAACTTTTGTGGTCATTAGAACCATTGGAGGCATCCTTAAAACACATACTGATGGGCCCTACCACAAGACTTTCTGATGTATTAAGTCTCAGATAAGGCCCAAGAATTTACACTTGTAAATGTATCCAGGTGATGCTGATGCAGTTGGTGATTTAGGAACTGAGTTAAAAATTTAAAGATGCCTGGGTTGCTCAGTCGGTTAAGCGTCCGACTTTGGCTCAAGTCATGATCCCAAGATTCATTAGTTTGAACCCCACATAGGGCTCTGTGCTGGCAGCTCAGAGCTTGGAGTCTACTTCGGATTCTGTGTCTCCATCTCTCTCTGCCCCCTCACTCTGTGTCTCTTTCTAAAAATAAATAAATGTTTTAAACAACAACAAAAAAGACCAAGTTAAAATTTAAATTCATTAGGAAAATTAAATAGTGAGATATTTGACTATTCAGCATGTTTTCTATTCACCTTCATATTACATAAGAGAAGCCTAAAATTAGGGCAGCCCTCTAGTCCTACACTTAATATAACACTAAAATTGTTTTAAATATTTATCAGCTTGCCTTGTATAGCATATAAACAAACAGATAAAACAAATACCTTTCCAAAACACAAAACAATCTTATCTGAAGTCAATTGCAATGTTTGCTTGTCACCTAGAACACTTAGCTCTTTAAGATACTGCTAAAGAACAAATTTCTTCTCCAATTCCTCTTTATATTCCAATTCCTCAATCCTTCCTCACATATTCTTACACAAACAGAATCATGCTTACTGAGTGACTTCTGATTATCAAAACTGGAGTTACACTATTGACCCAATCCTAGAGTAAGATCAGTGATTCTAGACTGATGTTCAAATGTTATTCTCAGCCACCTATTACATATATAATATATCTGGAAAATTTCCAAATTGCCTATATTTTCTACCATTTATTTTACTGCACCTTTATTCATATTTAAAAAAAAATGAACTCTTAAACACATTATTTTTTTCTAAACAATCAACTCATTCGCTTAGCCACTTATTATTTACTCATTTCTACTAATGTACCTACCAAAAAGTATTATAAGACTTTCGGGCAGAATAGGAAATGATGTTCCTGAAAAACTAGTACTTTGGTATGACATAAGCTGTCATAATCGTAAGTAATCATGGTGTAAGCTCACTCAATAAATAAGGTAGGTTTAAATGTGGCATAATTTTGATAAAATAACTTAAAATATATTAGTAGTACTAATGTTAAAATAATAAGTAGGAGAGCTCCTTATTTCTTTTTACGTTTATTTATTTATTTTGAGAGAGCATGAACAGGGGAGAAGCAGAGAGAGAGGGAGAGAGAATATCCCAAGCTGGCTCTGCACAAGCTGGCTGGGCTTGAACTCAGAAACTGTGAGATCATGATTTGAGCTGAGACCAAAAGTCGGGCACTTAACCAACTGAGCCCCCATGAGTCCCAAGAAGACAGCTCTTTAAAGACAAATTTTCCGTATGAAGAGATTTACATTTCTAAAATTCTTCTTCCTATCATTATTTCCATGCAAGTAGCAATTTAGTCAAATACTGTGTTCTTCACTAAGAAAACTATATTTGAAAGGAAAGAACAAAAAAGTAAAATGTTAATGAAGGAATCTATAAATTCTGAATAACTTGCATTTACCATTATGTCATCAATTCTATAGCAATCATGACCAAAATAAATTACATAATCAGTCTTCCTTTCTTCATCCAAAATATCCAATTTTAGATCATATGTCTGGCTAACTATGAAGCTATTTCTAACTTAAAATTATGTATTTTATATCCACTGCCAATGAACGAAACAAATAATTTTAGTAACATGAAAATGTTTTAATGTAAGATGTTTATTAACTAGTTTAGATAGTTCTTATTTCTTTTATATTGTTTAATGCAGTCAATAAAATTGTCAATCTTATTTTTACTTAGTATTTAAAGGCAATTTTAATTTTAATTTTTTTTTTAATGTTTTATTTACTTCTAGGAGAGAGAGAGACAGCGTGAGCAGGGGAGGGTCAGAGAGGGAGGATGTCACAGACTGAAACAGGCTCCAGGTTCTGAGCTGGCAGTCAGCACAGAGCCCGACGCGGGGCCCGAACCCACGAACCGCGAGATCATGACCCAAGCGAAAGTCGGATGCTTAACCGACTAAGCCACCCAGGCGCCCCACAATTTTAATTTTAATATTTTAATATCAAGAAACATTACCACTGAGCAGACTCACACACATAAAATCATTATATATTCTGATGAAAAATATATATGATATTAATTTATGATTTAAATTTACAGCTTAAACGCCTTTATCCCACTGTGAGATGATAATTAGTTACTAATTAGCACTGCTTGTTTATAGGCACACATAGCAAAGCTTATGATTAGAAATCTTGTACCAAACTTCCTACCATAGCCTTTGTGAGCTATGAACTTACGGACTGAAAAGATAGCTGGATTCTAAGGACCAGCTTACAAAACAAATTCCTTCCTTAAAAGTGTTTTTTTTTTTTTTTTTTTCTGTTTTGTTTTGTTTGTTTGTTTTTGGAGCAAGATGATAATTTTAGGTTGTTAACAATTACCTTTTTCCAGTCTTGGGCAATGGGTAAATCACTGATGATATTGAAGCATTCTAAGAAAGAATTTCTGATGGAATTTAGTGAGTTACTGAATAAGATAAATCAAAATTAAATTAATAAATTAGGTATGTTTTCCAAAAATAAGGGATTGTGCAAAAAAAAAAAAAAAACCTAGATGAGTAGAGGTAGATATAAAGGCTGTGTATTTACTGAGCTCTAACGAGAGTGAGGGTTGTGGTGTTATTTATTATAGAGATTTGATGATACGGTCCACTGTTCACCTGAGACCACCAAACATAGCATTCTTAAACCTGCTTCCTATCTCAGTTTTCAGTCACTGAGCATTTCCTTAGAGTGTACTTCTGTTCAGCTGAGATACAGTATTATGGTATCCTTCAGACTGCACTTACAATATCTGTAAATAAAAGCACGGGCATCACAAGGTATTATTTCCCATAAAATGAATAAGTAGTATATATTTAAGTCCTTTATAGTGTTCCTCAATATAACACATTGCACAGTAACCATACACACATATGTGTAGGCCTATTGCATTATATTGATAATGAGAGCATATTTTCAATTTTGTATCTTTTCCTTACCTGTCAAGTTCTTTAGTCCAAGTTCTTGCAGTCCAAAGTTCCCATCTTTTCTGTAGTTTAAAAATACTGCCAAGGCATATCGATCCTCATAAAGTTTTGTTCCACGGATAATGCGTAAATTCTCCAGAGGCAGGTAGCGAAACTGATTAAGAGCCACTAACACGTAGCCTGTAACTTCTCGAATAGACTGAAAAGACACAAATAATTTCTTTTGTTAAAAAAAATTAGAGATTATTTGTCAGTATGTTCATGCTGTCATCTAGATTAAAATGAATTATTCAATTCTACTTTTTAGCTTTTAATTTAATATGCTAATGTCCACATTATATTGTAAATAATTACCTGGATAACATAAAATCACAGATCACAGAGTATTATAAAAGTCCTAAATGTGCTTATAGTAAAATCATGGATTTTTTTAATGAAATATTATTCATAGCTGAGATATGAATATAACTAAAAGAATAAATATCTCATTCTTTGAAAGACTAAAATTAGGTAAGAATACCTGACCATCAACCAAATTTTTTAGAAAAAGAAGCAAATTAGTGAGCTTATCACAAATAAAACAAAGCCACATTAGTTTGTAGACTATGGGACAGATTTTAACTGTTATATTGGTGCTTAATGCTATAGTTATCAAAGTTAACTTATACGTCTCTGAGAAACCCATACAAGAAAAATATGTATTAAAGACTGATAATGATCTCTAATTTAATTACAATCACAATTTTTTTATGTCAATTGTTTAATATAAGCTAATTACTGGAAGGATTGCAACACATTTTAAAGTAAAAAAAAAAAAGTCACAAAAACAGCTCTCAGTCTTCATCTAAAGTTACTGTTCTTCAGTAAAATAAACAAGTTCATATTTGGCTATGAACATAGCCAATAAGATTTTTAAAAAATTAAATATAATACAAAGTGGTAAAATGTTTGATGTTATTAAAATTAAGTTTATTTATTTATTTTGAGAGAGAGAGGGAGAGAGAGTAATCAAGGGAGGGGCAGTGATAGAGGGAGAGAGAGCCAGTCCCAAGCAGGCTCTGAGCTGTCATGACATAGACCAATGTGGGGTTCAAAATCATGAACCATGAGATCGTGACCTGAGCTGAAACCAAGAACTGGATGTTTAACCAAATGAGCCACTCAGGTGCCCCTGTTTGATGTTATTTTAGTATCAATTTAATGTCAGTTTAGACCTCTTAATGTCAGATGTCCCAGTGTTCAGTCCTTGGTACTCTCTTATCTACCCTCTCTCATTCCCTTAGTGACCTTATCTAGTTTCAAGATTGATGATCTCCAAAGTTTTACCTCTAACCTATATGCTAAACATCAGATTCAATTCTAACTGCATACTCTACGTCTTCACCTGAATGCGTAATAGATTCCCCATTACTCCTGAAGAGTCCAAAAATTCTAACATTTCACCTGTACATCCAAGTTATTATAAAGGTATTTTTGTCAAAGTGGGAGGATAGGTCATATTTTAATAATTATTATTTGATTTATGATAAATAATAATGACATAAAATGTGTAGGACTTCATTTATACTCTCACCTTAGAATAAATCTGCTACCACCAACTACCTAGAAAAGTAAACTCATAATGGAGCAAAGATAGAGATGAAAGGGTAAGGAATCCAAATCTAAATTACAGAACTGGTTCCTTAAGTTGTTTCTGTGTGTGTTACATTATAACCTTTAACACAGACCCTGGCACTGAACAGACATTTAATAATGGCTGTTGAATGAAATGGAATTGAAAAGTAGAAAATAATGCTTAAGGTCTTTTTATATATTGTTTTCTATTGAAAGTGATTTTACAAACTTTCTGCTAATAAAAAACAATGTTTGAACAATATAATCATGACTTTTGCCCAAGGACCACAGTGGTAAGTAGAAATCATCAGAATGTCCCAGCAAAAAGAAAATCTTGACTCTGGTTCTGGCTCAGTACATTCAGTTCCAGGAAACTGCCTATTTTGTCAACTGAAGAGTGAATACCCACCTAAAGACATATCTCTCTCCTTGCGGTGTAAGTTTCTGCTGTCTAAAACTGATTTCCATTGTCAGTGTATGTTTCTACAGCTGTTTTATTCAAGAAGTGAATATAATTGAAAATCATTAAAGCCTTAAATGTTTCAAAACTCTTCTAACCCAAGGGACAATTTGTTCTGCTTAGGGCATTTGATGATGGAAACCAAAAGAATGAAGAAGAAAAGGAAAATAAATTTGACCAACTTCCTATACCATATTAGCAATAAACCAAGAAAAAATGCATGGCTTGTTCTAAAGAGCAGAAATTTATTACTGTTTCTCCCATGAAATATTTTAAGAAAACAAGTGAAATCTGAAATATAAAGTTCCCAGGATTTTCAATATGTGTCATTCAATGAAAGATTAGAAGAGATTGGACTGCTTCACTGTACTTTCCATTTATCGCCAGACCATTCAAGAAACATCACTCTATTATTTTTCAATCTCTATTTCATTTCACAATTCCTATAACTGTTATATTTTTATTTGACACAGTTTCCTTGTTCTTTTATTTTAGTTGGTTCTAATTTGATCCTTGGAGATAACAGTGAATAGCTTCTTAAATGTTCCTTCATCTACCTTAAAATTTAAGTGAGTGAAGAATTTCTGAATGATTCCTCATGATTCCTGAATATTTTTTTAAAGTTTACTAATGTATTTTGAGAGAAATAGAGAATATGCAAGCAAAGAGGCAGAGAGAGAGATAGAGAGAGACAAAGAATCCCAATCAGGCTCTGCATTGTCAATGCAAAGCCAGACATGCATGGAGCTTGAACCCACGAACCACCAAATCATGACCTGAAATGAAATCAAGAAAGACAGAGCCACCCAGGTTCCCCATGATTTCTGAATATTTAGTCAGTGTTTAAGAACAGTTCTATGCATATTAAAAGCAGTTATATAATCTTGGCGGTGTGTGTAAAATTGTATTTTCTAGATTTTTTTCCCTACTCAAATTGTGTATCAAATTCATGTTTATTAGTTATTTTTCTTTAATATGAACATCCCTTTGAAAATAAACCCATTTATTTTTGTTAAGACCTTCTGTAATAAGTCAAAACTATTCTGAATTCTTATCTTCTCCAGAGTCTTATATACTCACACCCAATTAGATATAATACTCAAATAATACTAACAAATTCCATCAGTCAAGACATCCACAAATAAAATAGTGATTACTTATGATCAGTGGACTTGAATTAAATCTATAATACCACAGAGAAGAGTGGGGAACAGAGAACTATGGGAAGACGAAGAGGAATGCCTCCTCTGCTGGTAATGACTGTAGAATTTATGTGTTCTCTGACAGTGACAAATGTAGTAGCACATTGTAACCTCTCTATCACTAAGGCTTTCCATTAACGTTCCCCAGGCAATTAATAACTTGTCTCTGCCCCTTACAGCAACAATGGGAATTTCTAAAGTAGGGGACATTCTTAATTATGACACAATATTTTTTTTAAAAAGTTACTGAAAAATAATTAACAAGCATATAGCAAACATTACATATTCCTGCTACCTGTAGAGATAGAGATTGACTGACCCTATTCTTCATTCACAAGTGAAATCTCCAAATGCAATGGTATATTTGGCTTTGGAGTCTTGTTTTCAGTTTTCCCGTTGCCTTAAAACTATAATGGTTATACTACTCTGGCAAGCAGGGACTCAAAGCCTGATCCAATGAGATTTAGGAAGATAGAGTAATGTGAAATGTCATGTACATGACTGTGGTAGAGTTGAATCCATACTCATTTTACACAGCATGAAATAATGCTCAAGAATAATACTCAAGGGACGGAGAATCTGATCCAATTCTTCCCAGCAAAATCACTAATCCTAGCTGCTTCTAGCCAGTCTTTTGGGTCCTAGTGCTATTACAACCCTTAACTTTCTAAGACTCTACAGGCCATTCATTCATCATCACTGGCCACTTAAGCAACTCTAAACCCTTGCAGTGAGCACCTTAATCCTACTGAAAAGAGGACAAGTTAACTCACCTCTCCCAAAGTTATGTTTGTCTTTGTCCTTTACATTTGTTTTAGCTGACCAGAGAGTTTATAATAGGCCTGTTTCCCAAAAGGTCCTTTATCTCCTGACCTTAGCTCAGCTATATTCCTGTATCATACATTTGTTACATTAGAATTGGTTTCCACAAATTAAATAGGGAGCTTTTATATATTCATTTACATAATCATATGTAATCAATTTTAAGCATCTATATAAAAATCTGTCCTATTAAAATTTCCTTATTTCTAATTAAAAAAATATATATATGCAGAGGCACCAGGGTGACTCAGTCAGTTAAGCGTCTGACTTTGGCTCAGGTCATGATCTCATGGTTCTTGGGTTTGAGCCCCTCACTGACAGTGTGGAGCCTGCTTGAGATTCTCTCTCTCACTCTTCCTCTACCTCTCCCCTGCTCAAGCTTCCTCTCTCTCTCAAAATAAATAAATAAATAAAACCTTTTTCTTTTCCATGTGTTTATACAGATAGGCTTACATTTTTAAGCCTTAATTCCAAATTGCCATTTTAACACTCTTTTGTAACTATTTAAAATATAGTATTGAATTCATTTTTTTCTCCCATCAGATAATACACATTAAGCTTCAGTGATTTAGGGAATTGAATTTTAACTGAAATTAGATACATGGCATAAATGTAAAATAGTAAGAATATCTGGAGACCTTTAAATTAAACTTTGATTAATTATAGATACAACTTAAATCAAAAGGAAAGTATTAATTGTCAGCATTTTCATACAACTGAGGCTACACATGAACTAAAGCATTTTAACTTTTATATATGTTGTACATGTGGTGAGTATTCTCCTCCACAGAAAATCAAAGCACTTATGGCAATGCAGTCCATTGATTAAATTTGTGTGCTGCCCTCTGACAGGTATTAATTTGACTTTTGTCTCCATTACTTACATACCTTGAACAAGTTATTTAACTTTAATTTATCTTCTGAAAAATGGGACAAATTCCTCTTAAGGGCTTAAAAGTTGAAGATCTTCAAAGAATAATCAAATTCATCATATTATTGTTAATGTAATTATGCAAATATTTGCAAATATGTTTTATAGTTTACAAAGGGAAAATAATATGCAAAAATATATACACTTGATATTAAAATCTATTAATTAAA